CGATCAGAGAAGGAAGGAACGAAAAGAAGGAAGGAGCAAGAAAAAAGGAAAGAGAAGTCAGGCTTCCCGGTTGACAAGTGCCCTGAGACGGCCGAATTCGGGCTCACCCCACTCCTTCTGATATCGTCCCGACTGATTGCGACTTTATCATATACTCCCTAGCTAGTTGTCTTGAACTTGACCTCGACTTAAAAAAATAGATGTAGAAAGATAATAATCAGTTCAAATAATGTAAAAACAAGATTAGAATTTTAAGAGAATAAAACAATTACAAAGTATAAAAATATATTGAACAGTCACTACTTTTTGCCAACATTCGACGCTAAACTAATAGATCCCGACCGGTGCGAATGCCGCGCACATGACCCACTTACTGCGAGTGATCCACCGCGTTCGAGCTGTGGAGGTCTAATGGATGTTGGCCTAAAGGTCCACACATCGATAACAGTGCATTTCGTTCAGCAATGAACATGCCTTTTCTATTGTTGCATTCATGACGGGCAGCTCCGCCCAAGAAAGTCACGCCCATATGCTTTTAGGTAATCATGAAGAATGGTTAATCATAAGAACCATACACACAAGAACCATAAATTTTAGCTGCAATTTACAACGAGGCAATCATGAAAAAGATTCTAAGAAGATTCCAGGTCGACGAACCGAGCTTTCGTCCATCGTTGAAGGATGTTTTGTTGTGCTTTTTGTGTTTTTCGGTCTGATGGAGTGGCTAGCATTTAATGAACGGATTTGTGGTAGGTTTATAATTTGTCGAGAGTGTAGGTTTATAGTTTGTCGAGTGACTATTTTAGGACTTTGTCTCTTGTGTGGTGCTTTCCTCTTTTTCTGCTTATTCTTGGAAGTTTTACTTAGCTGTGATATATAACTGGTAGGTCACTTACAGGTTCATCCTCTTGGACCCTCATATGAGCCCTTCACTTTAGACTGTCAGCATTAACGCGCGTGTTCAGTGAAATGAAATGTATGGTACTAGTGAGTAGCGCGCTGCATAAAGCATGGTTTACCGGTCAAATACTGGGACCAGATAGCCTCTGGCCCTTAAAAGAGTGCTTCTGGCCCTCAAAAGAGTGCTTGACAACAAGCGTTACCTTTTCAGTAGAGCAAGTTGGTAGCAAGTTTGTCGGGAACAGGAGCGTCACCTGATCTCAAGAAGTTCCAGTTGTGGCGACGCTCAGAAACCAGGTGGAACGGGCATGTGCCGCACAAGCGCCGAAACTCGCAACTACGCTTTCACTGCACCACCGCGACTCGGATTTGCTGACCGTCTGTCGCGCCATGGCTCCGTATACTAAAAACGACAGGGCATCGTCGTAATTGTGTGATATAACCCAGAGCCGACAAGTCCATAAAAACCAATTATATTTAATCATAAATCTAAAAACTTGTGGGAATCGCTGAATTTGTGGCCATTTGGCTTGAGAGGTGTTGCCGAAGACGTTTGAATTTCAGCTGGCCTCTTCTCGTTTGTCATGCAGCTCAAGCCGGTGGAATTTGTATATCAATATTTGCCTTGTTGATCTGTACAATGCTTATTTCGCATCCAAGTCAAATTACCGTAATTGAATTTAGGTAAGTACATCGGCTCCTTGATAATGAGAACCTCACAGGAAAAGCTGGCTTTCCCTGGGTCTTTTCCCTTGATGAATTTTTTTTCCATATTTCATAGCTCTTCTATCGGGACTGTTACAAGTCACTTTCGTTCTTGAAGGTATATAAAGTCCTTTGCCTGTCCGTAGCCACCTCTTCTGGCGGTCAGGGCCCATACAAGAGACCAGGGTATGTTAGGTTCCTCGCGGTACTAAAAGGGTATTCAGTAGGTATAAATGAGAAGCTGTTTTCCCTTCTCCATGCTTCAACATACTTTCTTCATTAGATCGATTTTTCCTCATTTCGGCAGGGTTCATTTCGGCAGGGTTCGGCTTGGGGGGGCTGTTCATTGCTGGACAAGAGTTGACAGTTATTCTCTACGAGAGTTGACAGGTGATCTCTATAAACTTAGGCTGCCATTACTTCATGGCTTCACAAGATCACACAGGTCTCCAGCTGATGTCTGTGGGAAATAGCGAATCTGCGAATTGCCCCTGCTCCAAGCAATGCGCCCCTTCTTCTAAAGAGGCTTCTGCACACGGAGGAAACTGAAGTGTTGAAATTTAGAGTTACGATGATGTTGACGATAGCAGTTGGCCTGATTCTCATTGTATTGTTATCAACGTTCGCTGCTAGTTCACTTACCAGAGCAAGAGAGGTATGTCATAAGGTCCCATCAGCAATCAGAATGATATGAGGCGGAAAAAAAGAATAGAGGATAAGCCCATCAATTTGTTTTGAGATGTAGCATTCTTCCCATTTGAAACCATAGGAGATTTTGGTGGCAAATTGGCCTGCATAATGTACTACAGAACAGGGGTTCGCTGGTCCTTCGATGGGGAAGAAGTTTTGCACGAATACGCCCCCTTCCCTTCTAAAGTTCCTCCTCGGTCAGCCTTTTTCCCGATCCATCGTTGACTACAATGTTCCTGCGTTTTTATCCACTTCCTACAGTTTCTTTGGAAAGAGTCTTTCAGTTTCTTTTTCACAGAAATTTGTCGTCGAGATGGACGGTGGGGAGTGCGGGGGGCCATCAAACGCCCGCATCAACAGCGCAACAGCGACAGGGAAAAAAAACAGGAGAAATCTCAAAAAATGCGGACATTCTATAATCGATTTACGATCCTTTCCACCCCCCCTCGAACTCCCACCTCACGCTTACCGGGTAGATGAGCTATCCGTCAGGCCACCAGAGGCCGCTTTTCACCCTGTTAGCAATACAATCGGGATTATGAGTTGAAGTAGAATTTTAGAGCGCGCCCCAAAATGGATTGATTGACGACGAATAATCAAGGCTTTCTCTTACATTTCAGTACAAATATGGCCAGAAAGTTATATACAGCGATTTTCAGCTGTGGGCGTTTGACGCCTGCCACACCGATCATCTGAGGCGTCTTCTCGTCGAAGCACTAGAAACGCTCGACCACTGCAGAAAAGACGAGAAAAAGGGCTGACGGCTGGGCGCATGCTGTATTTCCCTAGAGAAAAAGCATAATTTCCAAATGCTATCGTTAATCAGTTCTTATTGCGACTTCTTCTTAATATTGGATCTCTTTCTATGTGGTAAATGAATTTATGTGTTTCTTCTGTTTGTCAGATGGTGAAAGGTGGTAACTTTCCTGACGAAATTGAAGCTTAAAGACACATTCTGTGATTATCCGGTGGGCGGAGTCCATGATCGCAGAGCTTCTACCACTTCCACCACAGCTTTCGAATAAGTGGCGCCAGCGACAAGTCTTACATTTCCAAATTCCTGCCCGAAAATGTCTTATTTGGCCAGGATAATTTTTCCAGATAGTTAATTTCTCTTTCCTCACATGCACTGTCAACAACGCTGGGAGGCACCCATTTGGGGAGGGGAGATAGGCGGGGGGAGGGAAGAGCGCAGATCAAGAAGAGAGGATAGAGGAGGAGAGGAACGGGAAGGGTCGCTGTTGAGAAAGAATTAGCTTTTTGTAAAACGTTTCTCAGCGACAGGAAGTAGACCTGACCTCCCTAGGATGGGTGTGGCCAGTGCTACGTACTTTCATTCGACACTTGGGGCTGCGGCTGCATTTTCTGAAGAGAATTTCGTTTCGGACGCGCTCCAAGGGAAGGAAGAAATGCTTAGAGATCGAAATAATCCACCAATAGCCATTCCCAGGAATGTTCAAATAGTAGTACTAGCCAAGCCACCGCGCTCAAACAACTATGAATGTCCTGTAAGAACGAACTCATGACGGTCTAAAGTAGTGAAAACGCATCTCAACTTTGTATTTCTGCATCTATTCAATGCTTCTCAATCTTTACTCTTTACTTACTTTCATATCTATTTTTTGTCTCGTCATTCTTATCGTTCTAGTGATCTCTCTCATGAACATAAGTGCTTCGCTGGCTTACGAAGTACGTCACATGCCCATTATTTCCATTCCACATGCTGGCAAGGTCAAGCTGAAACTTAAACCCCACTTCATGCAATTTCACTTGCTTTGACACCACCAGTCTCTAACAGTACACTTTATCCTCATGGGTTTCTCGCCTACTCATGAAACTGGCATTCGCTTGTAATGAGGACTTCTCGAAAATATAGGCTTATCGAAAGCCCCAAAATAAATAAAAGTATCTGACTTCAGGAATTAGCTGAGCAAAGATTAATTCTGTGACTCGGAAATCGAAGAACATAGGACTCTGTTCAGCGGGTCTTATCCTGCATTCTAGAGGCGAAATATTTGAAAAACATCGAGTCAAACATTATGTGGTATTTATAGACCATTTGCGACACCCGGCAGCGAGGAGCAACTATGTTTGGTTGATGTTTAGCGCAGCTACCAATACGTACTCAAAGCAACCCCTGAGACCACCCGGCGCCCCAATAACCTCTTAAACTGTTGCAGGAAGTGCAAATGTAACACGCGAGGTGAAGGATACCAAGATGAAGTTTTCGCCGTGGGACCAATCCCTTTTGGATCGAGACAGACATTTACTACCCATTCAGCAACGCAGTGGCTTCCTGTTGCCTATGCAACACAACGAGAGCTTACGCGAAGTAGAACCATCCCTCTCACTTCAAAACGTGGTACTTTTAGCTATCTCCGGAGCATAGCAGGCTTTCCAGAATCTGTGAATGGACTCGATGCGCATTCGAAAGCCGATGCGGTTTCAATAGAAGTCGTATCCATGGCGCATTCGCAAATGGATAACTTATTTAGAAACCTTGCAACGTCAGCTTGTCAGCGTTAGCGTTCCAACTCAAGAAGCAGCTGATGACACACAAATAGTGCAAGTTCATTGCCGAGGACCATGCGATCAATCGCTATTTACTTTGCCTGTCACAACTAGCAGCTATAAAACATCTGTACTAGCAGAATCACTCATCATAGTTTCTCAACGCTCTCTTGAACTACTTATTCGCTTTTTAGAGCCACTGTAGGCCCTACTTTCTCATACTCAGCGCTCAGGACCGCTTGAACGGAGTTTTTGGCATAGTTTACTCATGCATTGTTCCCCTAAAATTTAGACCCCGCCCCACAACCAGCTGCTGTGCGTTGAGAATATTCGAATTTTCAAGTCTAAAGTCGTTCATTCGCGTAGAAACAGCCTCCATTCTCCCTTTAAATCCAACACTCTTCAGAATGAAGTGTCTTCTTTTGATTAACTTCAATTGCCATAGCATCAGTGTCTGGCAGTCCAGTGCACGTGGATGAGCTGGAAGACTTCGTGACATCAAGGGACGATAAGAATCAGCTCGAACGACTTGACGACAACGACCAAATGATCCGGTACGTCATTCTGATGGTGTTTATGACCAGCGCCTTCGTTTTGGCGCCTCGAGACTTGTTGGACTTCAAAGCCTTCGAAACTCACTGATTTTTTAGGTACGAGAAACAACGGCAACTGGACGCAATTCTCGCCAGGCAGCCACCAAACGTCCAGGTCAGTTCTTTGCCGGGCTATCACAGCTTGCAACAAAATCGGGAAAACCCTATTTTCTGGAGCACAAGTCGCCCTTATTTTAGCCTTCTCCAGGGCCCTCTAAAAACTATTGATAATGGTGGGCTTGTCTTCGCCATGGACTTTTTTGCAATCTCTCAACTCTCTCGGGGACCGAGTTACCGATATTTGTGGGAAGCACCGCCCGTCTCGAGTACGCCACGCCCATTTCGGGTGTGTCTCCTCCTGCTGGTGTCACCGTGATGCCTCAAAAGCTGCTCAATACGCAGATACTTGTGACAAATTTAAAAAAAATTCCCAGAACTCAAAGCGAACAGGCGGCTTATACCCTAAAAACTATGGCATTTCGATTCATAATGTCTCATTTTTAGCAACAATACAGCCAAGCAGTACAACGTGAGCAAGCCGATGAGCAGCGCGAAAGCCAGCTCCGGCAACAGCAATTGCAACAACGGGGCTTCGGCGACTTAGCTGCACAACTACATGCAATCGACAATGATATGAACATTTCTGATGCCGAAGCCAAAATGAGAAAGCAGCAGGTGAGAATTCAATCGTGGTAATGCGATACTTACAGTCGTTCTCACTGAAGCACACTCCTCAATCATCTACGTGACTGTCGGGGCGGGTCAGTGCGGCTGGCGTTTTCCCGGGCGGTGCCAAGTCTTTCTGGCACCAGTGTGTTTGAAGCGAGCATGCAACTAGCATTATATCCTTCGTATTACTCGTTTTCTACCACTTTTTGTCGCATACGCGTTTCAACGAAAAGGCTGAGAACGGCTTCAAACAGTGTGCGCACTCCTACTGGCTGATACGCCCGACAGTCCGTAATGAAAAGGAGAGTAGACTGGGAATGCAGCAGCGCGTAGGTTTTCTTACGACCCAGCTTCTTTGTCACCACTCATCAAACATCCGAAAGCGCAACGATCGACGAAAAACGGACTGGCGCCGTTCCGAACCCGTGCTCCGCTGACACACCCCGGCCGACTTTAGTGATAACGACTGAATGAGACGTCCCGTGTGCTTATCGGGAGATTCGGGTTGCGACGAGCGCGACGAAAAGCGGCAATGTCAGTATGGGGTAATTTACTTCAAATGTAACAGTTCCAATGGCTGCATATAAAATCAGCTAGTGGCAATTCTTTAGCCTAATGGCTTCTTAAGAGGGATGAGGACACCCGACACTTCAGACATTCTTTCTCGATTTGATCCCTGTCACCGAGGGAACGTCGTACTTTGGGGACTCCGCAGAGTCTTATTTGATGATTTTTGCTGTTCCGTGCATTCTATATATGACATACAGTCTCACTCACTGCGGATGCTGAGGCGTGTCGGTGGTGGAGGGGGTAGGTTTGCGGGCAGCCACAGGCCCTTTCGCCACCCTTGGCGGCTTGCTCGCTTCGAAAACGCATTCCGAATCAGTTGGCGCGCAGCCAAGCCAGCCTCTGGCGCCCACCATCCGCAGTGTAGAAGATGGTTCTTGGCAAAGGGGCTAGAGCAATATTTTTGTGACTTGGTCCGACGTCCCTTCCCCGGCGGCAGACATCATTAAAATTCCTTCGATCGCTGATGAGGAGGCGGTGTGGCAACGGACACTTCTGATGGAATATGTGAAATTTCTGTGCCACTGCTGGGGACGCGGAGTAGGGGTGTGGAGAGGGAGGGGTGGGGGCTGAGTACGGTGGCATGGATGCGGCTACCCAAGGCAGCCAATGAGGATAAATCATGTCGTCGCAAGCGTGTGACCTAATTTCTGCGTGTCGGCCGCATTTCGAACCTCCTGACACCCATCCTCCCAACTCAGTCTAAGCGTGACTTCTAAGAAAACGCTCTGTTAAGGAACCACTGTTCTGCTTGGGCATTTCAGCTAAAAACTCAATATCCTATCTTACCCAGCAATGCCGGATTGGACTACGAGATGATATGTGGTCTCACGATAGAGTACGAAATGAATCGAATACACCACTTTCCCACGTGGGAAGAACTCACTAGCCATTCCATTTCTCTTCGATTTTATTGATTATTAGATAAAGAACTCACATCACGAAAGCTGTTAGGCAGAACTCTCGCATAGACCACTACTGCACTAACACGGCTGGCAGTTGGTGCTCCAACCATTAAATAAAAAGTTAGAAGAAATGAAAGAATGATCGATTCCCGTCTGCGGCAACGTCGCGGCTACCTGAAGCGCTATTACAATTGTAGCGCGTCGCCGCGCGTCATCTCGAAGTCTGAACGCCGTCTCAGAACGATTCAATACTGTTTTACATAAAAACATTTATCATAACGAAATCATCAACAATAAATAATAAGTACAAGGTAGCTTAAACCATATTACCCACTTCCTTTACGGAGTACAAACAACAAATTAAGTCAGCACAACTCTAGGAATAGCCAAAAGAATCGGGTGACTTACAAAAATAAAAGGTTAACGTATCACACGTAGCGCCACAGATAACCACCGTCCAGTCAAATTTTGAAACTACGAGACAAGAATGGCAGTCACCCAAGAGAAACGAACTTCATCACTCAAAAATCATGTTTCATCTTTTCCGACTAGATGCTTAGTCAATGAGCTTCTTCGCTTTGAAGTAGTTGCGCAGGAACATGACCTAAACAAATCCTTCCGCTGAGAATGAAAAGAAATCTGGGCGCAGTTCGGCTACAGGGGAAGGGGGGGGGGCATTTTTTGCAGCCGTTTCGCTGCCTACTTTTGTCGTGTCGCGCCAACAGTAGAGACATATGAAGTTTGATGCCATGAAGTAATAACAGTCAAAGTTTGTGGATACTACAACTCTTAAAGCAGTGAACACGACAATGGGGAGCAGCAAAAATGCAAAACTGCCTACCCCTCCAACCGTTACCGAAGCGAGCCAAAAACTGAAAGTAAATATTCGAAAAACTCGACGTACCTGCCAGATAGCCAATGCCAGAAGACAGAACATAGAGAAAATAGATAGGTACAATACACGGCTGTTTGTGGACTCTGAAACAAAAAATTCACAGAAGAGGCGGGGAAATGTTTGAAAATAGGGTCGTCCGGCCTAGATATAAATGGCAAAGGATGTCCCCAGCACTAACCCCTTTCGGTGACATGTATAGTAACAGTTAAGATACTTCGAGGGCTACATAATAAAGTGCAGGACCGAGATAAGAACGGCTTTATCTTCCATTACGAGTAAGGGGCGCTAATCACCGGGAAACGGACAAGACAATCGCAACTGCCGCTTTGCAGCGCGCGGCGTATCATGCGGTCATGCGTGCAGAGCAGATGATCTGTCAACTGGAACAGCGAAATCATATGAATTTGAGCAGCGGCCGGACTCCATAAAGGTGCTTTAAAATTTTCCCCATATCTCTGACACTCACATTCGAAGGGTCAAGAAGGACAGCTCGTCCGTTAGCGCCACACCCACCCGCATATTGCGATTGTCATGTCACACACCTCTAATAAACTTGAGGACCATTTGAAAAGGAACACCATGTGCAGGCCGCATTACCTGCCATGGAGTATACGAACTCCAGCGCGTAAACCCTGAAGGGAAGGCCGTTGCGACAAGGGGTGAACCATACTGACACACAGCATCTGGCCGGATGAATCTAACCTAGTTTTGCACAAGAATTCCTTTGAATGCTCTTGCTTCCTGCTCCCTACCCCTCCCCTCCTCTCCGCCCCGCAAATCATTAACGCCCAATTGTGACACCAGTTAAGCGAGCCCGGAAGGCTGAAGGCTTTGTTGGCCTGAGCGCAGAGCCCTGCACTCGATCCCCGATAAGTTGAATTCGGGACCTTTTCAAAACCAAACTGCACCCTTTTTTCAATCACACTTGGCGTTTTACAGACGAAATTGGGACGATTTTCGGGTCAGTCTAAACAAAAGAGTTAGATATATAACTTATCTAATTCCAGAAAGTGTCCAGAACCGCTAGAAAAACGTTCCACGTAGTTTAAACGGTCCTATTTAAACGTACAATGGTATGAGACGCAAAATACTGTGCTATGCTATCAAACCATACCGTTAGTGTTCCTCATTTCTTCTTCGCGTTGCCGCATAAAGGCGAAATCTTTCACAATCTGATCGGACAGGTCTTCTAGACGTCGCAATTCCACCTTAACTTCGAACTCATCAGTAAACAGTGAAAGAAATATCTACACAATCTCGTTCAACGCGCCTGCTCTCTATAGCGAGCTCGCACTGTCCCTCGATAAACTTGGTCAGATCTTAGCTCTTTTCCTGGCCATAAACGACATGTGGCCGCGAATAGAACCGTTCACTTTCCGACACTAGCACATATGCTAAAGGCAGAGGGCGCGATTGCTGGAGGCGGCCGGTCTTCGCCAGCATTATTGGTGGAAGGGCGCTGGAAGAGGGCGTTTGGCAACACCCCGTTCAGCTTTCAGCAATGACGCTGGCGGACAACTCGCCTGCCTCTAGCATATCGTGTTCACCGGTGTACTTGCAAAGCGGCGGTGAAAAGCATCAATATCCGCAAAAAGTCTTGGTAGCTTCCTAGTCTTCGTTTATGGGACAGAGACTACCCCGAACGGCCAAGGAATATAAAAAAGGCAAACGTCACAAATAGGATGGAAATATTTGGCACAAAGACAGCAGTCGTCACAGCGCAGATTAACTGCAGAGTTAACTAATGATTATTCAGGCAATCAGGCAGTTTTGCAAAACATTTCAACTTCCATTATAGGAGAGGACGCTGATTTTCTTACATATGTATTAAAGGCAATTCTAACAGCGAGAATTCTCAGGCGAAGCAAAAGATGGCTAAATTATAAATCTCACCTCAAGAGGCTTCAACTTCTCAGCCTTAGCGAGATCATCGTAGTTCTTCGCTTCAACACCGTGTTTCATCTTCAGAGATACTTCTCGAGGTTGCCCATGGCCTTGAAAAAACTACTGCTATCAAATTCCGACGCGAAATGTTCGAATAAAGCAGAGAAAGCGCCAATGATGCTTCCAGTACGACAACAAAACCAAAAAAGTAACAACCCTAACGAGCCTCACCTGTAGCAGGAGCATGATTAGTAATGCAGATCTCGAAAATGTCGTACTCATCAGCCGTGAAAGCGAACTTTCCCTTCAAATCACTGAACTTTTCACGCTTATACAACGTATGTCCACGTGTGTCCGTTACCTAAATGAAGAAAGTTTCGACTCTAGCGGAGAAGTAAAGAGTAAAGGGTAAGTTAGTAATAGGACAAGGCACATTTTGGCGACGTGGGGCATTTTGTACTTTCGTTGCTTC